TCTCTATTATTTATGTTAAAATTTATTACTTATTGTAGAGGACAATATCGGGTACCCAAATCATTTCATACGGTACATACAGCACATTCACACCACCGTAATTTTTTGGATTCCACGAAAGTTTTTTGTCTATCCATACTTGTTTGAGCCAAACACTGCATGTCATTATCTGATCAATTTCATGCTAAATAGAATGTAAAATTTTAGCTCAAGAATTTAATTCTTTTCTTTCTTTCTTTTCTTCAAAGATTTCCATATTTATTCAAAACTTCAAATAATATTTTTTTTTGAAATATAGAAAATTTCTGTAGGAAGGAAGGAAGACATCAATAATTCAAAGATACTACGAAAGAAGCATCGTTCCGATTGAATTTGGTATGCTTATGTCGTAATGTAGCTTCAAGTAATGTGTGTTTTTCTTTGAACGTTAGTATCTGTTTGAAACATTTTGAAGGAAATTTTAAGAAAGGAAAGAAATAAAGAAAGGAAAAGATAGGAACATATTTTGCAATATAAATTTGAAAGCAAATCAATGCCTGAAAAAAGTACTTATTTAGATTAAATGCTGCGAAATATTGGAAAAATATCTTACCACATCGATGATTTGTGAAAGTCGTAACTTTAGTTTGATAGTTATCGGTTTATTAGCTGCCGGAGCTGGCCGTCGATGTTTGTTATAATTGGCCATTAGATCATCATGTAATCGTTTTGCATCTTCATTGCAGTATATCATTGATATCAACAATAATATTAGGGAAATTACAGGCTCAATAAGGTTGATCATATTATTCTGCATTATTCCTATATTATCCACTATTGGTCAGTTCAACTAATAAGCTCATATTTCTAATTGATAGCTTGTAATTAAGTAACACGAACGCTTAATATGATATAAAAATAAGTGAATTAATGGAAAAGGTTCTGACCAATTTAAATCTTAAAAATGTTAATAATCTCGACGTGATTATATTAAAAAAAGTAATCTACTTGGATTTTATTTCTTTTATCAGCATGTTACTTTAATCTTTACAACAGTTAAAATCGATGAATCAGAGATGGAAATATGATGATTTAGTAAAACTCACAATACTAAACATAATAATGATTTTGAATTGAATATAAAAGTCGATAACTTATCAGAAAAGAAAATTAATTACTATTAGAGTGATAATAATTTTTATAATTTAATTTATTTTATTAATATAAGACAGATTGCATTTTTCTGCATTTCTGGTTTGGATAAAAGTTGAGATAAATATTCCCGTTGTATGGATCACCTATAAATGATTATTATTTACCTTATCATTCAAGCTATTCAAATGAGAGTTTATGAGAGAATAACGTTAAAAAAAGAGCTAAAGTTAACAATTGGAAATAATTATGCATAAACTGTTACTCCAAATGTGGAAAAAATTAAATCAATGGAAAAAATCACAATCACTGAAGAAGGATTGTGAAGGATGTCGAAAGCACAGTTGCGTTGAGGATTTATTTAAAATAAAGCCAAAGAGTAGGAGAGAGTGAAATGGCGTTAGACATAAAGGTGATCATCATAGCTGTTCAAATTTTCACCATCTCTTTCCTTATTTTTAAAGCTAACTAAAGTGATATATGAAGTTGAAGAGATGCAGCCTCATTTGTTGTCATTTTTCGATCTCTTCAATTTTCAAAATTTATTAATGATTTCAATCATTCACTGTTCACGGATAAATTTTACATACCATTGTGAGGCTCCATTCAGATATTTAAAATCTAAGTTGAAATCGATAAATTCCACAAAAAATGATGAAAAGATAGGAACGATCTGTGATATTGCTACGAAATAAGATTAAGATAAGATATTTAATACAAATTTTACAGCTACTTAATTCATATTAATCAAAATGAGACCAGATATATTAATTTAACCAATTAGCAAAGTTAATAATCAAATTGCTCGTTCGTTTCTTCATAATAATCTCAATGCATCATCAGATTAATATTTCTTGAAATAAAAGAACGGGTCGATGTAAAAGGCTCTTCGAAGAAACTCACATACCTGTAGTTCATTTGAACTATTACAATCTATTAAAGGAACTTTTTGATTACTGTACTTTTTCATTGTTACTTCCTTATTAGAAAAATCGGAATCATAATTGTTTAATGGTTTCTTTAACCTTTTCAATTTTACATATTTTTTTTTACTCGTAACCATAATGTAAAGTAAACAAAAGAAAATGATATGATTGCTGAGGAGATTGTAAGACTTTCGGGGAAAGTGCATGATAATCAGGAAGGGTTAATCCAACAATGTATTTAACCAAATTGCGGAATCAATAAATTTATTAATTGTGGATTAAAATTAAACCAAAATTTGATTTAATTCGAAATTGTTATATTAAAATTAGTGTATTGTAGTGTAAAATAATTTAAAAAGGTAAAAGAATGCTCAGTAAGGTGAACAATAGAAGATCATTTTATCATATCACATCTTATCACAAGCTCATTGGACATTATTTTCGTAAATAAAGTTGGAGAATTGAAAGTATCCAAGAAATGCTGTAACACATCGTAATCATTGATATTATCTGTATTATCTAAGCTGTATCCAATATTAATAAACTTAATTAATAACAGTTAATTATGTTTATTATCTAATCCCTAAAAAATATTTCATCTCTCTTACGAGTATTTTGAACAAAATTTCTAATTATTGTATGCATAGGTGAAAGACATATTTTCATTTAATAAAAATGAATTCAAGATTTTGCTTTAAATTTGAAATGCGGCATTGTTGATACAACAGTTAATATATCATTAGGTGATAAATATCAGACGACGAGAAGAATTACAGGAAAAGGACATTATTGGCCAGGTGATATTTTATGCCAAAAATTTTATCAGCAGTGAATAATATAATATTTTGGTATTTTGTATTTATTCTCTATTTATTCCTTCTCTAAAATTAACAAAAAAAAGAACGAAAAGGTTCAAAGCTCATGATGAATATGCAAGTAACGAGCTGTTGATTATTATTATGTCAATGAATATTTTTATAACGAAAGATTAGTGTTTAATTTCTATCAAAATTGCTTATATTGCTAACTGATAATAAACGAATATTCAATATCAGCAATTTATAAGATTTCCAGAATTGAGTACTTTTTTATGCGATCTAAATTTTTGGAAAATCGACAGTATTAATTTTCAAATTTTGAACTTTTTAATTAAACAAATTTCCGTCTTGTAGATACAAACAGAGAGAAAGAGAGAGAGAGAGGGAGAGGAAGTAAGTAAATTAGTCTAAGACCAGAATAATAAATTTACATTGACATGTTGTTAGCTATGCATACATGATATTATTCTAAATGCTGATTGCATTCTTTTCTGGTTGTCTACTCTCGGCCAGAATAGATTCTCAGATGGAATGAATTCTCAGGTAACTGTCTTCTATTTTACTTTCATTTCATCCTATCGCTGAAGGTATATTTGATGTAATGATACAACAATAATAATGTTCATATTTATGATTCATAACAAAATATATATGCAATAATGTATGGTTGAATGAATGCTAGCATTTAGTATGTATGTGTGTGTGTGTGTGTGTGTGTGTGTATATGTGCGTGTGTGCCTATTAGGGTCTGCACAGGTATATAAAGTTCTTAGAGCTTGCTCATACAGCTTGCTTGGTGGGTTTCATAATGTTTATTGCTCACATATTTTTTTCTTTTTTTTTTATTGTATCGAATAATGTTTTTTTTGCGCCATTTGATAATGATACATGGATAGTTAACTCTTCTGAATGTGTTCAATAAAATTCCTTTCATAGCTTTTTTTTCGGGAGGAAAAGTCATGTGTAGCGGTGTGATCTTTGATTCCATTTCTCCATTTCATACAATTCGATATTTTATCTGTGATTCATTACAGTTTACACTTTTCCTTTTTTAAAAGTTATATCAGTTTTTTTCCTAGCACTTTTTCTTCACCATATTGTTTATGACTTCCGTAATTTTAAGTTAGCGTATTTTCTATATTGAACATTTATACTATTTATTTTAGTATGATCATATTGAAACTAATAAATACGACCTGTTCGTCTGATTACTTTATCAGTTTTTCGACAACAGTATTAATCAGTTCGTCTACTCTGTTATTTGTCAGCTTTACGAGTCTCTTTTTCTGTTCCTTGCAATATAGGAGGCGATGAAAGTGATTTTAGACATTTAAATGATAAGTTCGAAGGATTCGAAAGATATTTCTCCCTTCCAACTCTACTCATAGATGATAAATCTGACACGTTTTCTACATTAACTGCAAATTTGCAAGAAATTGACCCCATTGACGCATAATTGCAGAAAACTCATCAAAGGTTAATTCTATCGTTTGCAATTAAACCATCTTTTGCTGTTAACTCAATAATCGTAACAAATGTATTGTGAATACTTTCTTCATGATGTTTTTACAGTTGTAAATTAGAAATGATGCATTAATATTCTAGAAAAATAAAATATTTTTTGATAAAATGTGGTTGATAATGTTAATGAATCATTATTTATCGCTATTCTCGATAACGTCAATAAATTAACATTATCAAGCTTGACGAAAGCCCGAAAAAAACTTTTTGTTTTTCGATAGACATTGGAAATAAAATTTCACAATGGGTTAATGCAATGTTATCACTAAATTTTCTTCCACAATTCTTTTTATAATGATGTTTAAAGCGCTGTTTTTAATTTTAAATAAATCTGAAATGATTCATACAGCAAATATAAAGTGATACTTTCAAAAATTGGCTAGCATATTTCTTTCATTCCTCTTTATTTGACCTATGACACAACATTCATTCTATGCTATGAGTCCAAAGTTTTTGGAGGAATTATTTTGACTAGACTGTAGATTGATTTCAACGATAATATGAAATAGAAATCAAACAACTTCAGTTTTCCAGAACTTCATCTATTGTTATTTTTAAATTTTTCTGAAATTTGACATGAGAAGATTATGATAGGTTCATAATCTAAATCCGTATAATTTTTCTTTTAACATTTCAAAGCAACTGAAATTTGATAAGATTACCGTCAACTTGTAGGAATTCAGCATAATTTTTATGTTTGAATTAGAATTTGGAAATTTTTTCATTTTAATATCGATATCGTTTCTTTCGTTCTTTGATTATTTAATTAAAAGTTAAATTTATTTTTAAGTTATTCTAAAAACAGAGAGGAGAAGATTATGGGAGGATCACAATCGCAATCATACGATTTGAGTAATGAATCGATGAAATCGGTGCACGATAAGCGGAACATCGTTCCCACCAATAACGTTGTCGATGGTACACTCATTCATATTACTTCCACTAAAAACTCAAACGCTTTGCCAAATGAACAGGTTAAAGTTTTTTCAAAAAAAAGATGAAATTTGTAAAAACTATATCGAATAATGTTTGGATAAGCTATCGGATTGCGCGAGGCGCTTTTTGTATTGTGGGAACAGAAGTTATTTCATGAATTGATATACGGAATTAATCCGGATTGTTCAAGGATAATTAAATCTTAAATATCAGCAACATATCCGACCATCATTCTGATATAATAATTACGATTAAGTGATTATAGCTTAGAACAAGGCTTAGCATTATTTTTCGAATCATCTATACTGATAAAAGAATATTGAAATAATATTTGCTTATTT